CTTTAAGACGGCTTATCAACTTCTTGAGAAGAATTCTAAGAAGAAAGTAAACCTACAGACATCGGTCTTGTTTAACAAAATCTGCCTATAAGAAAATCTGTCACCAAAGTACACCAATACCATTTTGAAGAACCATTTTTCCGAGCCATCACTACATAGACAGTGCTACTGCATGTCTGATAACACAGGCCTGCGATGGTTTTATTATCTTGAAATTTTTACATGTTCTACAGTAATTCCTGTACGCTGAAAATGATATCTATTTTTCTCCATCACAAACAGATTTTTCACAAAATATCAAATGTACTTTTACATTACTGAATCATTTTCATTAAAATAGGGTCACATTCTGTTATGCTTAAAACGTTGACAACCACTGGCTATAGATTTCTCTAGACCAATCGCTATGTGAGTCTTATCGATTGTTCTATAACCCAAACATAACAATAACAAATGTTCATTGTGGTAAACAAAATAATAATTTGATCTAAGTAAGAGTTTCTCCCTTCTTCTCGATTTGTAAAAAATCCTTACATGATAAAAAAAATTAATATTATTTTTAAAATCTGTGTGGATGAATCCGTTATTATAACCAAATCAACTTTTATGAAGTTTAAATTCACAGACCTGTGTAATTAGTGCAGAACTACATACTATCTTAGTATAGTTAATATAATTATTGTAGCACTGTATGCTGATTTGGTATAATTAGTGCAGAACTACATGCTACCTTAATATAGTTAATATGATTACAACAGCACTGCCTGCTGTCTTGATATGGTTTATTAAATACATGCTGTCATAGTATAGTTAATATTATTAGTGTAGCACTATATTTTGTCTTGATATAGTTAATATAATTAACGTACAACTGTTTGCTATAGGAAAACAATTCCTGTAACCCTCAATGCTGTCTTGATATAGTTAATATAATTAATGTATAACTACATGTAGTCTTGGTATAGTTAATATAATTAATGTATAACTGCATGTAGTCTTGTTATAGTTAATAGAATTACTGTAGCATTGAATGCTGTTTTGGTAATGTTAATATAATCAGTGTGGCACTGCTTGCTGTCTTAGTATAGTTTATATAATTAGCATAGAACTGCAAGTTGCCTTTCATTTAATACAATTTCAAGTAGAACTATATGTTGTCATGGAATAGTTA